TGTGGACTTGTAGTAGTGGGGCGCAACCTCGGTGAGCCAGCGTGGATCAATCTCCGTCACCTGTCGCATGAACTCGCGCGTGGTAAAGACCAACTCGTGGTAGAGCACCCACCGTGGCTGCTGCTCGACCAAAGCGCTGTTTGGGTGGGGGTGTATCGTGTGCTGATGCTTTATCGTCTTGTACCCGTTGCCTGTGAAACGCGCTGTGTGGTAGAAGAAGCCTGCTGTAAGGGCCTAAAGAGAACACAAGAATGAATCAGCTCAACAAACCATAACGCTCAGGTTAGATCACTTGTAAAAGAGTAAGGCGCATAAAGGGTGCAAAATGAGGATCTGGTGGGGTTGTGGACCGTACTCCGAATCTGTTTGTTTCGACTAAAACCAAAAGGCTCAAAGTATTGAAGATCTAAATACCACTCCAGATGCATGTAAAAGTTCTATGGGTTTGTGAGGTGACCCCAGAAGAAAAGATCAGGACCTCAAAAATGTGAATTTAGGGGCAGATTTGTGCGATAGGTAAATCATGGAAAGTAGGGGTGATTTTAAAACTGCCGTTTGAGAGTCTCAAAATGGTCTGGAATCAGGTTTTCGTGGTTGTCTATTCAAACCACTTGAACAGTGGTGCTATTTCTCGATTAAAAGCGTAAGACACTCAAAAAACACTACGTGGGGCGTAACTGCTAAAATCTCTGACCCAAAAGTGTTAAAGCCGTTATTTGAAGCCATCAGGACTCACTTTTCTAATGCCAGTGTGATCGACAGGGTTGCTCATAGGCTGGATCTCCACACGCTCTAGAAGACCCACGAATTGATCACGAATGTCCCTTGCTCTCCTCATAGTTCGGTGTTGAATGAAGTGCTCGTAACACCATTGGGCAGAGAAATCTTGGGAGCAAAAAGAGTGGACTTTGAACATCAAAGGCGGTCGCCATAATAGAAGAGCAAGCGAACAGAATATCGTACCGGCATTGGCCCATTGGTTATAGACATTCATGAGGGTGAGGTGATCTCCAGTT